CAAATCAGTTTAAGTATGTATAAAGCAATATTGTTTTAATGGTATCTACAAATTACTACATTTATACTACAATTAAACTGCAATCTATGTTGAAAAAAAATGTTGACTACAAAATTTTCTCCTAATCTACAAATTTTCTACAAAAAATCTACAAATAAACTACAAATTAGTTTACGTATGTATAAAGCAGTATTGTTTTGAAGGGTATCTACAAAATTACTACATTTATACTACAATTACACTACAATCTATGTTGAAAAAAAAATGTTAACTACAAAATTTTCTCTTTATCTACAAAATTTCTACAAATAAACTACAAATCAGTTTAAGTATTGTATAAAGTTGTATTGTTTTTAAGGGTATCTATAAAATTACTACAATTAAACTATAATCTATGTTGAAAAAATATGTTGACTACAAAATTTTCTCTTCATCTACAAAATTTAAAAAAAAACTACAAATAAACCATCCTTTCTTATTCCATCTTCATCCTTGTCAAAGGCCTATGACTACTCCTTAATGAAATCTTCAGGGTTGTATATGTACCAAATTGGTGTTGGCCACCGCCACCGCCAGTATTTGGCGTTATTATTGTATGGGATTTACAATGGGTTTCATATTGAATCTCTTTGGCTAAAAATCTGATTATAAAAAAATGGGCCTCATCTCTGTATTTTTTTAGAAGAAGAAGGAATGGAGAAGAGAAAGAAATGGGAGGGGGAAAACAGTGCTGGTCAGATCTTGGGAATTAAGGAGAGAGAGAAACGTGGGATATATGGACATCTTTAATTAAGGAGTAAAAAACTGTCAATTAATTATACCTCTAAATTAATTATGGTATATAAATGGTAATTTGGTATGCTGAAATGTAATTAACTCAAACCTTAAACATTGAGGGTAATAAGGTTTCATATGTGGTATAGGAAGGTAAAAATCCCTAGTTTTATTTGTGTAATAATTCGTATTTTAAGCTCCATTTACAAGCATCTCAAAGATATTCTAAAGTAAATTCAGAAACTGCAATTTGAAAAGGAAGAAGCATCGTATTCATAGTTGCCCTTCTTTTATTCTAAATCCTTACTATTATCTACAAATTTGGTAGTAAAATACTCATGGAGTAGGTACCAACTCATAAAAGCATTTACATATATGAAATTCTAAGTGGTGCTGTGTACATATAATTTTAAATGCCAAGGAAAAAATTGTCTAAGTTCAATATTGAAGTTGCAACATTTCTTTTGTAGAGATAAGCTCGTTGTCGAGTTTTATGATTATATAATATTGACTCCCTAACCTCACTCTTACTTGAAGTTCTTCCTTTCCAATTTACAAATTCAATCAACTTTGAAAAAATTTCTCCTAATTATATATATTATGAATGGTCTGCTCTTCAAACCAGTGCCTAAAATGTGGGTTATAATAGTGCCAGTGTTAGTAGTAAGTGGTTTATGTTGATGTAGATGAATGTGATGAGATGACATTTTCATAATTTTGCTACCTTCTTCCACAGTTTTTTTTTTAGAGACAAGCTTTTAAAATTAAGCAAAGAAACGTTTGCAGAAATTAAAGATATTTCCCCAACTTATACTTAATTTATTGCAGAAATTAAAGTCTAATTAAAGTCTCTCTTGTCATTGAAGTTATGAAGGTTTTGTGGTTGAACTACAAGTTAATTTAGCGATTTCTAAGCATTAAATCGTCGAAATCATTAAATGGCGACGCGTTAACAATTCGTAAATTTAATAATAATAATAGAATAACAACATCCAAAGAAATGCAATGATAAATGTACAACCCCCATGTGGAGGACCGGGAAAGGTATGGAGTTGTGGGTCAGGGAGGAAAATAATGTCCCAAATTTCACATGGCAAAGAGTAAATCACGGCAACAAACCCCTACATTTTTAGTTAAACACCAAAATGGGCCCCAGAACTTCGGCTCCCATCATCTTCAATCCCCAATTCGATGTAACTCCAAATACTGTCATCAACTTAATGGCTCACCACTAGTTTTTTTTTTTTTAAATTCTTTTTTACTCATACACTATATTTATATTGCATTGCATTGGTTAATTAGTAATGATCTAATGTTATATTAGAGTAAAAATATATTACTTTACCATGGCTAGAAAATACTAAGTTTTTATGAAAGACATGATATGTATTTATTAATTTAGTCTGTATAAGTACTTGTTAAAATAATATTTACCATTATTATCTTAGTTGAAGCCATATGATATTAACATTTATATGCTCATCTCGTTTGACACTCAAGTTTATTTGTAACATCCTATAAGTACTCTTAGAACACTATGATATTTAATTTATTTTATCATTCATATAAGAACATCTCATTAAAAATAAAACGAAAAAGTTATATCTATAGATTTTGCAAGTATATAACGGTGTTAGTTTTTTGTAGAATAAAAAGTAAAAGTATCACATAAACCCTAATAATAATAATAATAATAATAATAATAATAATAATAATAATAGATTAGATAGAGTATCCAAACGGAGCCGCCCATTCAGAGGCGGAGCACAACATTTAAACCTTATTGGTCCGGGGTTGTAATTTTTTAAGTTATTGATTATTAATAAGTTGTACATATTTAATGAATTTTTTAAGATAAATACATAATTTGAACAAAAGTTATTGGGTTCAGCCGAACCTGCATCCCGCACTATCCTCCGCCCCCTGCGCCCATTAGCAGAAGATTTATGACGCTTCTTGTTCAATTTTCTAACCGTCAACATCAATAAACACCATTTATTCTTCCGTTTTCCGCGTAACATAATTCAAGATTGAGAGACTACCCAAAAGCAATAAGCAACCTCACGCGGACATACGCTTGCACGGTTGAAACTACACTTACGAATATCATATTTTCACATGTGTGTGCAAAAGAAACAAAATATTTGAATCTATCAATACGAACTGTATGTATGATGTATCCTGTAATTATTAAATTTTTGAGTAATCTCAGAATATTTATTAGACAATCCTTCAACCTTTTTATTGTAGAATTGTAATTCACTTATAGCTTGAAGCATTTTTTTTTTTTTTTAAAGTTGAAGTGTTTGGTCAAGTTTTTGGAAGAAAAAAAAAAGGTGCTTTTGATAAGAACCAGAAGCAGAAAAAAGTAATTTCTCTCCAAAAGCACGTTTTTGAGAAGTATTTTTGAGAAAAATATACTTAGAATACTTTTTAAAAGCTTGGTCAAACACTAATTGCTGCTCAGAAGTGCTTTTCAAATTAATTAACCAAACACAAATTGCTTCTCACCAAAAGTACTTTTGAGAAAAAAATATTTTTCAAAATGTAGCGTGTAGAGCTACAGCAGTTGGATTGAAGGCAGCTCGTGAACCAAGAGAAGAAAAGAATAAAAAAACTAAGCAAAACAGTAATTTGGATTCATAAAATCTGAGTGCTGATTACAATGCATAGGAAAAGAATATAAAGATGATAGAGGCACAGCTGTACTGGCCATTGGTACCTAATGGACAGGTGTCCTTGATTCATTAGAATGTGTACTAAAGACTAAATTGTCATATTCCTAAACTAGGGGACTATAACATAAGGACTGATAAACAATTATAATTAACTAAGGCCCCTTCTCAATTCCTTCTTGATCTCTAATTCAAATTCTGTCACACTAATTCGTGACAATTCCACTCCCCTTAAGGAAATCCATGGTGTCAAACATCAAATCCAGGAAACTGTGATTTAAGGAAATGATAATTCTCACATGTTGCTTCTTCTTTTGAAAGATTTGCGCACTGGACAAGCACTTGGACAACTGCTTTGTTCCCTTTCTTGATCATTTTTCGTTCTAGAATAGCTATGGGCTCGGTTAGTATTTGTCCTTCATTGCTGCAGTAGGGAGGGTCCATGGAAGGCACCACTTGATTGCCAATCTTCTTTTTTAGTTGCATAGATGAAAGACAGGGTGGATTTTCGAACCCACTGGCAGCTTGAGCTCATAAGCGACATCTCCAACTTTTCGACTAACTTCATATGGGCCAAAAAATCTTGTTGATAATTTAAGGTTCTTCCGAACAGCCACATACATTTGCCGATAAGGTTGAAGTTTAAGGTAGACCATATCTCCCACCTTGAATTCCCTTTCACCCCTTTTCAAATCTGCAAATTGTTTCATGCGGTTCTGAGCTTGGACCAAATTATCGTTCAATATCCGATCCAGTAACTGCCTCTCTTTCAATACTCGATCCACGGATTCCACCTTTGATTGTGCAACAAGCTCGAAACTGGGAAGTGGGGGGGTCATAGCCATAGAGGGCCCTAAAGGGTGTCATGCCAATAGCTGATTGGAAATTTGTGTTGTACAAATATTCAGCCATAGAAATCCATTTGCTCCAATCCTTGGGCTTGTAACCAGTCATGAATCGTAGGTAAGTTTCAACACATTGGTTTAGCCTCTCCGATTGGCCATCAGTTTGTGGATGATAAGCCGAACTTAGGCGTTGCTCTACCTGTAATCCTTTGAACATTTCCTTCCAAAACAAACTAGTGAATATGGGATCTCTGTCGGAAAAGATGGATTTTGGGACCCCCATGTAGCTTGCAAAATTTATCCAAGAATAATTGAGCTACCTGTAAAGCATTATAGGGATGAGTTAGAGTAAAGAGATGTGCATACTTTGTGAATCTGTCAATAACCACCAGAATTGTATTCTTTCCAAAGGAGTTAGCCAGGCCTTCAATAAAGTCCATAGTCATATGTTCCCAAGCTTTAGATGGTACTGGCAGAGGTTGCAAAAGGCCCGGGTATGGTACATGTTCAGCTTTGTTTCTCTAGCAAGTATCACAAGCTTTGACCTTTTCCTTGATATCCTTCATCATACTCGGCCAAAAGAAGTTATCTTTCACCCTTTGCTGAGTACCCAAGATTCCAGAATGACCTCCTCACGGGGTGCAATGCATTTGCTCAATTATCTTGTCTCTGATTTGGCCATTATTACCCACCCATAACTTGCCATTCATTCGTAAGACTCCTTGATGAAAGTGACATTTGGAACAGCAGTGGAGTCCAGAGTTAATTGTGCCATCAACTTTTGGGCTTCTTGGTCCCCATCATAGCTGTCAATTAGCTCGTGAACCCATTTGGGCTGAACAACTGATAGTCCATAGCATTCTGATGGCCCAATATCTTCGCTATTGGATTCAAATTTTCTGGATAAAGCGTCTGCCACAACGTTATCAACCCCTTTACGAAATTGTATTTCATAGCTGAGGCCCATAAGTTTGGAGACACCTTTATGTTGCAAAGTCGTAGTCACCCTTTGATCCTTCAAGAATTTGAGGCTGAAGTGGTCTGTCCGGATAATAAAATGGTTGGGCTGAAGGTAATGCCGCCATTTGTCTACTGCCATCAGTAAGGCCAACAGCTCCTTCTCGTACGTGGTCAAGCCCAAATGTTTTGGGCACAAGGCTTGGCTTAGAAAAGCTATTGCCTTGTGATTTTGCATCAAGACTGCTCCAATCCCTGTCCCACTTGCATCAACCTCAATAATAAATGGAACAGAGAAATCAGGAGGTCCCAGAACAGGAGCTCTAATCATGGCATTTTTCAGTTCATCAAACGCCAAAGAAGCTTTTTCACTCCAACTAAATGCTCCCTTTTTTAACAATTCAGTTAGGGGCCGGCTAATAATTGCAAAATGCTTAATGAATCGTCAATAATAGCCGGTTAACCCAAGAAATCCCCTCAGCTCTCGTACATTTTGTGGATAAGGCCAATCCACCATTGCTTCAACCTTTGATGGGTCAGTACTCACCCCTTGGCCTGATATCAAATGGCCCAAGTATTCAATTTGGGGTCGGCCAAAACAACATTTTGACATCTTAACGAACAACAAATTGGCCCTTAGAACTTCAAATACCATTTTCAAATGCTGCAAATGATCTTCTAGGGACATACTGTATACTAATATGTCATCAAAGAAAACAAGGACAAATTTCCTTAAATATGGACTGAAAAGTTTATGCATCAAAGCTTGAAATGTAGCTGGTGCATTAGTAAGGCCGAAAGGCATTACTCTAAACTCCCACAATCCATGATGAGTTTTAAATGCTGTCTTGAATTCATCCCCTTGCCTCATACGTATTTGATGGTATCCGGACCTCAGATCTAACTTGGAAAAGTAAGCAGCCCCATTAAGTTCGTCAAGCAAATCTTCAACTACTGGAATTGGATATTTATTCTTGATTGTGATGTCATTAAGCCTCCAGTAATCCACACAAAACCTCCATGTGGCATCCTTCTTCTTCACTAAAATAACTGGAGAAGCAAATGGGAAGTACTGGGTACTACAATTCGCGCATCCAGCATCTCTTTCACCATTCTTTCAATAGTGTTCTTTTGTTCAAACGAATACTTGTAAGGTCTTTGGTTGATGGGCTTAGCTCCAGGTTCTAGTTCAATTGCATGGTCACGGTCTCTTTTTGGTGGAAGTCCGTGAGGTTCTTTAAAAATATCAGCAAAGTCTCTAATTAAAGACTTAATGGGCTCAGCTAATTCCAACAGAGGGTCAGCAGCTACACTGGATAGCAACTGGGTTGTCATGACACAGCGGCCCACCTTCAACAATCGTTGTTTAGATTTAGCATCCGCCGATTCAATCAAGCCCACATCGTCACTGCTATTTAATGTGACCAGCCTTTCACCTCTGAAAAATGAGATGCTACGAGGATGGGTGTGCAGCAAAACAGGCGTTACAGAATCGAGCCAATCCATTCCAAGTACAATGTCACTACCACCTGCTCCTAACACATTCAAGTCCCACACAAAGGCCTCTCCATTCATTGTCCACGAAAATTTTGAGCACCTTTGGTTGCATTTCATTATCTGACCATTAGCCACCTTCACATTCATGATCCGATCAGTAGGTACCATGTTCAGTCGCAATTGCTTAATAACTCGGGGATCCACAAAGCTATGCGTTGCTCCGCTATCGATAAGGACCATGACGGGAAATTTCCTTATCCGCCCTTCAATGCGTATTGCAGTGGAGGACCCATTTTGGCCCAGCATAGCATTAATCACTACCTCTGCTTGTTCAGTCTCTCCTTCACCCGTTGCATCATTCTGCAATTCTTCATCAAGGGCCTCCATAAATGTCTCATCACCTTCCATCGTATTCAATGCCTTGGGCTTGCATTGGTGACCAGGAGAGTATTTATCATAGCACTTGAACCATAGGTTCTGCTCTCTCAAGGCCTCGATAGAAAGGTTTTTCTGGCCCGTCACCTTGAAGTTATTTCCCGAGCTTCGACCAGCAGAAAAAGGAACCTGGGCTTTGGCTGGATACTGTGATGGGTTGGGCTTGGGCATTTTGGACAAGGTCTGTCTGGCAGAAGCATTGAGAGAACGCTCATAACGTTTGGCAAACTTGTATGCTTCTAACAAAGTTTGTGGGTTAGCCACATCAACCAAGGGCCCAAGTTCTTCTTTTAGGCCGCCCACAAAGCATTCAATGAAATAGGCCTCATCTAAATGGGGCCTAGCTCGTAAGACATGGCAGCGTAGATCCTCGAACTTCTTTTGAAAACTGTCCACATCAGCCCATTGTTGCAATCGGTTGAACTCTGTGATTTCATTAAAGGCCTTGGATTGACCATAACGTTCACAAATATCCACACAAAATTGGGGCCAAGTAACATAACCTCCATGGTCTATCATATAAGAATCATACCAGTTATCAATGGCCTCCCTGGTATTGATGGCAACATATGTCATTTTTTCGACCTCAGGGACATGGTACAGGTTGAAATAATGATCATAACGCCGAATCCAAGATCGAGGATTAATACCATCAAATTCTGGGAAAGGCAATTTCCCTTTTGGCATACGCAACTGTTGAGGTTGGGCTTCAGGTGGGGTAGGAAAATGGGCTGGTGTGTGATAAGGATGGGATATGAAAGTAGTGTATGGTATGTAGGTATTTGGGTCGAAATTCCCATCTGGGCCTGTGACGGAATTTGGGTTGTGGTCATTATTGGTGTATACGAGGAGAAAGGGGCTGAGGATGGGTAGGATGGCAATTGGGAAGATGAAGTTGTGGAGTTGAAAATTCCAAAGGTTAAGGGCATCACCGAGTTTGAGTAGGAAGGGGAAATTCGACTAGGCATGGAACGGGAAAAACCAGAAGTGGTACAAGGTAGACCGGGTATTGAAGGTTGAAGATGTGGCTGGTTGTGTGAAAAATAAGGGCTCATGGGGGCAAATGTCAAAGGGTCACTAGATGGTGTTGTATAGGTTAATCTGGGTAGAGGGGTAGGCGTGGGAAGAGGTAAGCCGCTTATTGCACCGGAATAAATGGGAGTCGTCGGGGCCGGCGGCAACCACAACCCACCGGTGACACCAGTGTAAGCCGGTATTAGTGGGGCTGAATTAGGATGAGTAACCCCTATTTCTGACGATGGGGTTACCTGTGCCGATGTAGCTCGACGAGCTCTATGAACAGATGACTGTCCCCGACTCCAAATACGTACCTTCCTGAGCTAGCGCCATGTTAGACTGTACATCCTGCCAGAAAGCTTCCCTCCGATGAATATCCACCACCAACGATTCCCAACGTTGGACTGCAATTTCTCGTTTCTTCTGCAACTCCTCCAAGTCCTCAATCCTCTTGCTAGAGGTTGCTATGAAAGCTTGGATCTGTGTTTCGAGGTTGGAAGTACCACCCCCGTCGTCGGAGTGTCAGGTCTTATCCACCATGGTTGCCCAAGATGGATGCTCTGATACCAAAATTGTAGCGTGTAGAGCTACAGCAGTTGGATTGAAGGCAGCTCGTGAACCAAGAGAAGAAAAGAATAAAAAAAACTAAGCAAAACAGTAATTGGGATTCATAATATTTGAGTGCTGATTACAATGCATAGGAAGAGAATATAAAGATGATAGAGGCACAGCTGTACTGGCCATTGGTACCTAATGGACAGGTGTCCTTGATTCATTAGACTATGTACTAAAGACTAAATTGTAATATTCCTAAACTAGGGGACTATAACATAAGGACTTATAAACAATTATAATTAACTAAGGCCCTTCTCAATTCCTTCTTGATCTCTAATTCAAATTCTGTCACACTAATTCGTGACACAAAATAAGCAAATTTTAAAAATTTGGTCAAACAGACAATTAATTAGTTTAATACTACTGTTTAAAGAACAATGATTGACGTACCATGAGTAGAAACAACGTTTTCAAATTGGAGCTTCTGGATGACCTTATGTTGACAGTCGTAATCTTTTCTGTTAACGAAAAATTAACTTCTCTTGCTAATTACACTGAGAAAAGGTACTCCACTATGAGTACTAAAGAATTATTTTGTTAAATTTGATTCTACTCGCGCGCTTAAACTGCAGTGCTCAAAAAAATAGAATAATGCAAAATCTGATTAGTTTATGTTTTATTGCATGGATTACGGAGAAAAAGTGTTCAAAGTATCTAAAGCAGAGGGACCGGTCTTTCGACATTCGGTCAAAATTATCAGTAACTTGAATGGTTCCCTCAATTCTGTCCATAGGATCTAAAATTTTAGTTTTATACTCTTTAAGATCCAAAATAAGTAATTTTTTGGCTAAAATTTTACGGTATAGTCAGTTTTCGAACTGGTCAATCAAAAATAGCCAGCGTTTATCAAGTCAATAAAAAATAGCCACCGTTTTGCTGCAATAGAGACCGGTCCAGTATAATATACTGGAGTTTCGGTGCACTTGTGTATGAACTCCAGCATATTATGCTGGAGCGGTATACTTTGCTGGCTCCAGTATAATATACTGGAGACTGGAGCACTGGTGCTCCAAACTCCAGTATATTATACTGGACCATTATACTTGTTGGAACTCCAATATATTATGCTGGAGTTCTAGTGTATTCATGCTGGAACTCCATCATATTATGCTGGAGTTCCAACATACTATCCTGGAACTCCAGTATAATATGCTGGAGTTCAAGTATACTTATGCTGGAACTCCAGCATAATATACTGGAGTATTTTCCGGGTTTTGAACAATGTTTTCGCTCAGATTTATCTTTACATAAAAAGTGGCTAAATTTCGATTACTTTTGGAATTGGGCTATTTTTGAACGACCTGTTGTAAATCTGGCTATTTTTAAAAATCACCCGATTTTTTGGCCTTTTTTTTGTGGTCTAAAATAAGTAATTTTTCCAGATTTCAAGAATGAATTAATTATTTTTTCCTACATTGCCCTTGGAGTAAATAGTGGTGGAGTATGTGTTACTGTTAGGACTGCTTATGTGAGATAGTAAAGGTTAATATAGTCAATTTAATTGCTAATTAATGCTAAAAGGTGAATTTTTTAATATGTGTGAAAATATCCAAAAAAATCACTTATTTTGGACCGGAGGGAGTATGTTCTAACATTTAAAGTTATGAGTTTATATTTACTATTTATTATAATTTTAATAATTTTTTATACGCAAATTTATATACCGCGTCGAAAGTACTGGATTCAATTGAGCCCGATAGTTTTATGCCGCGTCCGCCCTTACTTCTTATCCAAACCAGGGGCAGATCTACGTAAAATCGATATTTTTTATTTACATTTCGTATATATACTAAAATTTATAGATATCAATATGTGTATTCAGTTTTTACTATAATATTAATAATTGTACATAAAATTTAGAAGAAGAAGAAATTTTTTTGAACACATCAAAAATACTTTAAAAATTGTGATTTCACTATTGATTATAATATATTATATTAAGAATCAATAACAACCCAAGGTAATCCATCGTATTAAGAATAAAATGAAAATCTTAAAATTATAGAAACGTCATTGATTTTGAAACAAGACCGACAGTGAGATAAATGGAACATAGGGACAAGTGAAGAACACTAGTCCTTATTCCTTAAACCTTTTATATACCCTCTTCCTTCTTCTTTCTTCTTGCATCTACTACTTCTCTCTGCAAATATGGTGGTGAAGGTTTCAGTTTTGCTTCTTTTCTCATTGCTCTTCACTGTCTCTGCCGTTCGCCCGGCTCCTCCTCTTGAAGGTAATACAAAGCTCAAACATTAATCTTTTAATATGCTATAATTTACTTCCCATTACTTAATATGGTCAATTTTGTTACTTATTTTAGTATAAAAATGCAGTCTTGGAACTATCTCCTACCAAAAAGTCGTTATGACTGTTAACTTTATATTATGCTCTTATGTGTTAAAGAAGGTTTAGCTATGAAATGCTACTCAGCTCCGTTTAGAGAGGAGGGTTCACATTGTAAAAGAGCATTTACTTAGGCTTCACACTATATCTCTGTTTTTTGAGCTGCTTTGTTCTTCATAAAAAGGTATGCTTCTCTTGTTTGTTTGTGTATCTTTTGTGCTCAACATTGTGTTAAAGAACATTCTGTTAGGATCTCTACTTTTATATAGTATGTTACTCTTGTTTGCTTGATGGAGTTTTTCTTTTTAAGTGGTGAGGGGTAAGGTAGAAGCGGATTCAGTATATGAATTTGATGGGTTCGATATTTATTTTCTCGCCATTAAATCTGTAGTGGTCTTGCAATTATGGCTTCAGAACTTAGTATTGTTGAAGTTGTATTGATATTTCACATATATTATGTTCCGCCTAAAAAATACTGGAACTACATTGCATCCACCTCTTGCAAAGATTGTTTCTGTGCTCAAGAGAACAGGGTTTTTATATAATGAACGTTTTCTTGGATAGCCATGTTACAGTTGATGATTGATTAAATATTCTGTTTTCAGGACTACTTCCAAATGGGAATTTTGAAGAGCAGCCAAAGCCAAAAGACCTCAAGAAAAAAACAGTACTTGTAGGCAAATATGCTTTGCCCAAGTGGGAAATCAACGGCTTTGTGGAGTACATCTCCGGCGGGCCACAGCCCGGCGGGATGTACTTCCCAGTCGCCCACGGCATCCATGCCGTGAGGCTGGGGAATGATGCCTCAATTTCGCAAACAATTCCAGTAAAGAAAGGCTCTTTGTATGCACTCACATTTGGGGCATCAAGAACCTGTGCTCAAGATGAGGTCTTGAGGGTGTCGGTACCTCCTCAAACCGGGGACCTTCCTTTGCAGACCCTTTATAGCAGCAATGGCGGTGATACTTATGCTTGGGGTTTCTATGCTACTTCTAATGTAGTTAAAGTTATCTTTCATAATCCTGGAGTTCAAGAGGATCCAGCTTGTGGTCCTCTCTTGGATGCTGTTGCTATCAAAGAACTTTTCCCTCCTCGCCCTACCAGAGGTATATTTTCGGACCTTATTTATGCTTTTATCTGGCTTTTTAGTGATTGGCATTATAAGATCAAAGGTAATGTTAAAGATGTATTATTTGTGGATCTAATACTTCAAAGGTATATGAAGAAGTCCTATCAAATGGATATCTGTTCTTAGATATTTTAACTTTCTTTGGAACGAGATGGACCAAGAAAAGCGAAATGGATATAGAGGACTCGTGTAGCTAACCCAACTAGTTTGAGTTGTAGTTGATTGATTGTTGGATTTATTTATTTCAATTGTTTCTCCTAAGGTTACTATATTTTGATATCATTGCTTGTTGTACCCTGGGATCCATGTGCCTGGCATATGGAAGAAAAACAAATAGACTCCAAATTTGAAAGAATCAATGGATTCTATACAAAGTAATAAAGTTTTTAATATGTTGAATGTTTCTTTTCACTTCTATGTTTAATATACCTTCCATGTTTTCTGTGGTATGTTTTAGTGAAATAATACATTTATAACCATGTATCCAATATATGAAGGATTTTGTTGGGGTGCAAGTGTGAAATTTTTGATTTCTTGATTTTGCTCTTTGGTGTCCTGCAGTGAACTTGGTTAAAAATCCTGGTTTTGAAGAAGGACCTCACCTCTTGATGAACTCTTCGCACGGAGTTCTCCTCCCTCCCAAACAGGAAGATTTGACATCCCCACTTCCAGGCTGGATCATTGAGTCACTCAAAGCAGTGAAATTCTTGGATTCAGCTCATTTCAATGTCCCGTTTGGCCGAGCTGCAGTTGAACTACTTGCAGGGAGAGAAAGTGCCATTGCCCAAATCATTAGGACAGTCCCTAAGAAGGTGTACGCCTTCGCGTTCACTGTTGGTGATGCAAAGAACGGTTGCCATGGCGATATGATGGTTGAAGCATTTGCTGCTAAAGAAACATTCAAAGTTCCCTTCAAGTCACAAGGAAAAGGCAGCTTTAAGACTGTTAGTTTCAAGTTCACAGCTATTGCAGACAGGACAAGAATTACTTTCTACAGCTCTTATTACCATACAAAGATCAATGACTATGGAGCTCTTTGTGGTCCTGTTGTGGATGAAGTTAAGGTTACCCCTGCTGCTTAGAAGTACACTCAGAGCTTTTGTAAGAGTCAATAGAGTTTTTATGCAATGTTAATTTCATACTTATCAAGCTACCACTGAGGCAATTGCTGTCTTTTACCTATGTGATTGCTTAAAACTATGAATTAGGCCTGCTGTGGGACGTGTACCATTGCTTTCAAGGAAGTGTGGATCTAGTTGAACTTCCTCTCCTTTACTATGTGCACTTTGATCTTGATTCTTAGATAGTCAAGAAGTAATATATAAAATTGTACTAGCAAGGATGAAATATAGATGAGTTAATACCCTAAAACCCGTCTAAATTATATAGCTTTTGTCAAATGTCTAGCTCTATCGCATGTTCCCGAAAATCCCTTCGAACTATATCCCCTTCATATAATAAAATCCCCTCGTCGCTTATGTGGCGTTATGTGTGTAATAAATCGCCCAAGAGCTGCGAGGGCTAACAAATACCCCATTAAAATGGCGTGTCTAAAAGCTAATTAGCCCTTTTTTTTGAAAATTATATTTCTTTTTATTTTCTCCTCTTTTTCTCTATATTTCACCTTCCTTCCTTATTTTTTTCACCTTTCATCATTTGAATTGAAATTTTCTCTCTTATCAATTTTTTTTTCTTATCTTTCTCGTTTTATCCGTCCTTCATTTCTTCTAAATTTATTTGAAAGAAGGGACACCCTTCAAGTGTTTGTAGAGAATGAAGTTTAATGCCTTTCAAGAAATTGGGGAATAGAGAAATAGGACCCGTGTGTAGCTATCTTCTTTAACAATTTAGGTATCTCCTTTCAACAATCTTCAGAATTTAGGTATATCAAAACCCTAATCTTCTATACCGATTTAGGAGAAGAAACCCTAGTTTTTCCGATTTTCAAACGGAAGCAAGAATAGACAATGCAATCAAGGTTAGAACCAAGATTAATGGAGAAAATCGCTACTGAGTATAGCCATTCTCTGATGAGAGCAAAGAGAAAATGAGTTTTTTACAATTGACCCACTAGATTTAACCCTAGCCCCCTTTTTTATTTTTACGATGTAAATTTTTACAATGATATAATAAAGGGTACTAAAATCTTATTTAAGTCTGTTTTTTAGATTAAGATAAAGAAATATTCATGTAGATTGGCATGTGGCAGATTTTAAAAATAATTTGGAGAGTGTATTACATGCACTAGTAAGAATGCGACGAGGGGGCTTATTATGAAGGGAGATATAGATCAAGAGGTCTTCGGGGACATGTGATAGTTTAGGTAAGCAACTGACAAAGATTGTATAGTTTAGACGGGTTTTAGGGTATTAACTCAATATAAATTACATTACTAATCTTGTCACTTTAGTCACTTAGTTGGATTTCTTTTTCTTTCTTTTTGTTATACCCTTTCTGTCTAATTTTTCTGGTCACTGTACAATCTCACAATCCCTTTGTCAGGAATGTATCTCTAATCAATTCCAACTCCTCTTCAAACGCATACCCCTAAAGTGTTTCTGGCTCATGGCCTTCCTTTAAAAGAAGAAACTGTCTTTTCATAAAGCTTAATAGGCTTGTATATATACTGCTTTGTTCTCTTCAGTGGCTGCACCCCAGAATAGCCAGAAACAACTAATTCTAAGGGGCAAAGTGAAATAAATCACTTTCAGGTTTCAGTTTACCTACAATCTCAATCTGCTTAGTGATAAAGAAACACAAGATCATTCAGACAAGCAATTAAAATTCGTACACAATTAGCCAAATAATGAATATAACAGAAGATAATTCTGACTTCTTGGGAAAAAAAGGAAAGAAAAATAAGAGAAACTTGTACAGGTGTTCAACCGGAGGAATACATTTTTATTCTATTCATTTCTTATTATGAGATTAATAAAAAGGAGATTCAAATAGTTCCTTTGTCATACAGCTTATAGAGAATGAGAATCAAACTCCTTTTCTATAGAATGGTTAGTCCAATGTACTATGGCTTATAGACTTTTCCACAAAAGAAGCGAATGTCTTCTGTTCAAGTCATCTGCTTGTAGTGACAATGCTCATCTGATACAATGGAGAGATCTCTGCCATAAAAGAGAGCTCATGAAACAAGGATTCTTCATTTGCTGTCATCCAAAATGCCCACAAGACACTTCTCCAATAGAAATTCAGCATTAACCCAGGCATGGTATTTGTCTGAACAAAGTGTTAAAGAATGCAAGTTTTGATGAAACAAAGAAAAATTCAAATTCTAAGCAAGGGATACTAGTGTTGCAAACTCTAACATTAGAAAGTTCTTTGCCCTGCCATTCATCAGATCCATTTAAGAAAATATATCCTTATTGCCTTTTAAAAGGCTCATAATTTTACGTCAAATATCATCCTATCACAATTGTTAATACGAGCATCTTGACTAATCCACCAGGCAGTCTATCCAAACCACAAGCACAGGTCACCAAGTTAATCATGCCGACTAAAGTTGGGCCACATGGGCTCACACCAATAGTTGTAACTATGATTCAAACCTGGAATCTGAAGGTGGTTACTCCATGCTTCAACCACTAGACCATTGACCATCCCCTTGGGGACAACGACCATTATTAATATTTCCTATATGTTCACTCTCTCTCTCTCTCTCTCTCTCTCTCTCTCTCTCTCGCGGCAGGGAGGAGGGGAGTCAGAGCAGGGTGAGGAGGGTCAGGATAACTTTAGCAGATGCAGAATAATGTACACATGGTACACATAAAGCCTGATATTAGTATTGCTGATGGAAGAGGAGCTCCATCAGCAATGGCAGAAGAGGATCCACTTTTCATGTACTTTGTGTATAACCAATCCGACAATTAGTAATCTTTAACAGATTCGATATGGAGATCCCATTAAACTTTAGTTGAATTTAGTACGGCTATATGAGTTTTACAAACTAGGAAAATAACAAGAGCTAGCAGAGGATACTAAACAATGCCGTGCAATCTTTTCCTACGGCCTTCATCAGCATGTCAACACCTGAAAAAGAGAAGGTAAGCAAACTAGTCCAAGTAAATAAAATTCATAACTTAATATCAAATTAAAATTTTCCTTGGTTATTACTAAAGGAATCTATTGAATGCATGAACAAGCGAACAGTAATCGTGAGGGATGGGACAAAACCAACAGCGCAGAGGATAGACAAGTATCTCGGAGTGCAAACAATTTACAAGAGGTAGAACGCGGGAAAGGAATGATGAACTACTTATATATACTTCTGTCAAAGCATCAGTGAAAAATAGGAAGTGAAAATGTCACCAGTTGATTTCATAGTTAACTTCAGCAACAGCTCCTTGAAATCAGAACATTTCCATCTTTTACAAATTCCATGACAGTTTATCAGCTATCACTTGCAAAAATAGGTCAAAATAATATAGGAAATTAAAAGAACTTTCATGTCAAATATAAAAGAACTATTGACTTAAAAAGAGTTTAGTTCTTGACCATTCCGGAATCTTTACCAGCAGTCTGGCATATCACCAAATCCATAAACATTCCTTTTTTTGCTATACATAAATAGGAGTTGAACTACAAAGAATCATGAGGATTCCAGCTAAAAAAAAAGTCTAATTTCGAGGCTTTAGAAGGAATTCTATTTAAGAGGCTCACTTGAGCCTCCAAAGTCCAAATCTGCCCCCACCGCTGGAAAATTCCCAGAAAAGAAAAAAAAGAGAAAAAGAATGCGTTAGCAGACAATGAATTCCGAGTTGAGAGCACATGGAAATCAGGAAACAATTAGGTCAAAAAAGATTATCCAGTGGTTCTCTGATAATGTTTTCACAAGGGATTCCCAAGGCAAGGAAGATGGCAGAGGATGTATACTTTTTCAGATAGAGTTAACTATGCTGGTTTCCTAGGTCCGCACACAGCATACATCTAGTATGGCGATTCTATATGATTTACTGCTTACTGAGGGCAACATTTAGCATATAACTTAGGTCCATAAACCTCATGCCACCATCCCATCCTTTCCATATCCTCTTCATAAAAGCAGGGAATGGAGGAATCCACCCTCACAGTCAAGTCTCACATTGTGATATACATGGACCAGAGATCATATCTTCAAAAATCTTCCCCTTTGAGATTTATTTTTGGAAAAGTAAGATGTTTTATTCAGAATTCTAGCACCAAGTTGATGCTGTGCGGAGCTACAAAAGCCTTCTCTGGACTATTTGCCCTATGTGTCCATGGACTCAAATGAAATCCAATACATTGTCAGTGTTATTTACAAAAGCAATACTGCACCAAAAACTTATGTATCATAAGCATTGGATCTTTACAAAAGTTAACACAAAAGATTTCTGTAAAACATCTTTGGTTCCTCTCTTAGCAGGCTGTCCAAAAACTACATGTAAGGAATGGTTCTCAACCATCTCCTGTGGTTGTTCTTGAGAAACCTTCTAAATTTTGTTACTCATAATTTCTGGTTCTCATGTTATACTAGGGAAATTATAATAAATACACTTCATACACATTACCTCAAAAGGTCAGTTACACAAGAACATTGGTCAATGAAAGACAACGTAAACGTTAAGGGAGACTAACATGTGAAACTCGAGGTTACCACAGAAGTTAATGCTCAATCATACTAAAGGTTCCGGTAAAATGAAAAACTCTTTAAGAGGCAAGGTCAACACACTTATAAGTTATATCAAATGCTACAAAAGTTCTATGGCATTATACCACATGTAATATTTAAATATTCATTACACCCAGGGCAATGTGAGCATCACTGAACCTGCCACATCAAGGTGCAAGAACATAACAGTTCACGAACTCCTTTGGTATGTATGGTGCACCTCGTAATCCCACCCGCTAGGACAACTCTTCATTAATACTCAAGGAGAATGAATTTCAAACAATGAATGATGTAGCTCACCAGCAAGACTCAGCTAAATAACTAGTTAAAGTCTCAGAAGCAAAAGAAAATGTGTCAAATTGTATGCTACTAAGTTGACAAACTGGCAAGCACAGACTGTGAACTGAAACACCGAGTATCTTTGAGGAGAAAAGAACTATTGAGATTGAAATGCATCTGGCACAACATGGTACAGTAGAAAGCCAAGATGGGACAAGAAATGATTTCCATAACTAATTAACGAGATAGAGCAAAGCAAAATTTGATCCATACCTCCTGGGTGAAACTTCATGTATGGTGTTATATTGTAGACATGGCCTTTAAGAACAGTCCACATTGAATCTTCATTTTGGTGTTGCTTAACTTCATTTATTGATATAAGTCTCCTATTGGACTGTCCTTTTAATCCTGAACAACAGATACAAGAAGACCGGAATAAGAAGCAAAAGAAAGAGAAGTTCCACGGGAGGAAGCCAACCAAGTGATTGACGATTATGCACTTAATATGTCAGACATAGAGTAGAAAATTACTGTAGTACAACAAGGATTTGCATGCTCCCTTCATTTGTTTACTCTACTTCTATTATGGTGGGAGAAATTTTTACTAGACTAGCCATAGTAATGAGTACAATAAACTTTTAACCTTGGTTTAGTGCATCAAGGCATCTGAAGATTGATTCCAAAGGACATATAAAATGAAAGTTAACTGCAGAGCAAGCTGCAATTTTGAAAGGTTTTACAATTCTATGTTGGTGAGTAATAGCTACTTCCTATTTCCCACTAAAGCCTGTTCTATGCTTGAGGCTTAGACACTCAAATGAAACAGGATCAATTTCACTTGTAAAACAGTAATATGCAATATCTTTTATAATAAAACAGTAGCGTATATTAACACAATATCATCTGCAAGTATCATGCACGACGGAACCTCATTCTACACACAATAGGTACTTGTCTAGAGTTTGTATACGGAATAATATCTTCATATCAAAGGACCTTTTAGACAACCTATACATTTAGGGGACCCTTAATTAACCCTAAAAGACAAACTATTTAGTATTGGAATGAAATGATCCCAAACTAAAGTGGCATAGGTTTAGAATATTCATATATCTTGCCCCAACTAGCTTAGAATAAAGGCACAATAGATCAATTGATTGATTGATATTGCATGACCTTCTGAAGTAGTTCTTCCGTTCATCGGAAGTCTTTTATATCAAAGGTTTCTTATTCCTCAATTGGCTTGTAGGATTTCCAACCAGCCTTGGGTTCAAATCCTCCTTTTCAAAAGTTGCGCAACATAGCATGCGAAGCCTGATAAATGGACTAACAAGGACGAAGTGCATCAACAAGTTTTCTGGTCCATTATTGGACAGGATTTTTAGGCTCTGTTACAGCTCAAGCTAAGAAAGGATACAATATCCAGTATTAGACATTCACATATTCGCTCCTTATCTTGTGCTACCTAATGGATTTAACGAGCCAAGTCTAGTTGATCTATTAACTACTTTCATTAGCAAAATAAACTACAAATGCATCTAGGCATAGCAACAAAATCACATTTTTTACCTGATATAGAATAATGCAAACAAGTAATACATCTTTTTTGTTATTCTGGAAAGCATTCCACATATGAAGTACTATACTTATACGTCTATTGAATTATAACCTGTATAAAACTCGGCAATAAAGCCAAAAAGGCGAACTTGGAAATCCATTTATACCCTGTTTCTTTTCTACAACAACAACATACCCAGTATAATCCCACAGGTGGGGTCTGACCCTGTTTCTTTTCTATACTTATCAATATATAATTGGAAGAATGACAAATTTCAGAATAAAGTGCGGAAGATTACACCAAGAGATTCTTACCTGCAAGGTCAGGATGTGTTCTTGTAAGCTTAAGCCAGTCCATCTGGCTATAACCCTTCTCAAAGGGAACCTTGGCTCGAGCTGCAGACTTCCTAGCAGGCTTTATCTGTTCTTTAGAAACTGTGACGGAAAATCCACCATCTCTTGATGCTACTTGACCAGAAGTTCCGCTCACTTGCTTGCCTGGAGATGTGTCTATAACATTGAAAGACAAAGAACCAACTGTTCCCTCCTTCTTTGTGGTAGCATTGCTGCCCAATTTACCTTCCCATGGTGCATCATTATTTTGACTAATACCAGCATCATTTGAGGGCTCATCTTTTATTCTAATTTCACTAATATCTTGAGCGAACTTCTGTACGTCTACATTATCAGGTCCACCAACCTAAAAGGCCCAATTGATCTTTCAGGTTCAACTGATAAAAGAGGAATTTAACAAGGTAATACGACTTGATCTTCAAGCATGAATGTCTCACATGTCCTTCATTACATGGTGTTATTACTTATTATCTCACTTACCTGACAGAACGTGAAATCATCATCATTAGCCATTGCTAGCTCAGCTGTGGAATGACACCAACCAAAAGGTCCTCTTCAAGGAATCTGGTGAAAAAAAAAATTAACATTGATAACAAAAGTCAGTTCCTCTTCCTTTTCCACGCTCATCATTCTTCTAAAATTGTTAACTTGTATTTAGAAGGCACAGTATTGAAGTAGTGTTCGATTGTCCAGTAGGGTGATATGAGTGCCCTATATAGCTGACATTAGTATTTGTATTCAAAGACTGTGGTGCATAGCTTTAAGCGACGATGCAAGAGCTTTTAATAACATTGGCTAAATCATGCACAAGTAATGAAGAAAAGGGTCAAATTTTTCACCTATCAAAGCAGTTTAACTTACATCTAACTTGAAGAAACTCTACAACATACCTAAAATCATGAATTTAAAGCGCTGAGATTGATCACATTTAGCTGATGTTTACCAAAATCATCAAGTTCATCCCAAACACAAGTAACCAAAAAATGAGTTAACTCTCAAGAAATCAATCAAGCAGTTAAACTCTCAATCAAGTTCAAGAAAATCTACAACAGTCATAATATCATGAAATCAAAGAACCACATTAATAACATTAGCTTAAATCCATCAAAAACCCCATTCTCATCCCAATTACCAATAATCAGTAAAAGGGTCAACTTTTCACCAATTATTGAATCAAGTTAAAGAATTCTAAAATGGTCAGATAATTGCCACAACTCTTCAAAGACGAATTATCAATTCAAATTACAAATTCTCAGATAATTCAGAAACTAAACATAGTTAAAAAATTGCAGAGGGTGTTAAAATTCACCTTTCTCTTGTGATTCTTGATGTGTTGTTTTTCCCTGCTTGCTGCTTCCGGAAGCTGACCTTTTCTTTTTAACTGCTACAATGACACAATGTTCGTTCAAAGATGATGGGCGGACTAGCTACGCTACATTCTTGAGTTTCTTTTCCCTTTTCTGATTCCTTATGCATTTGGTGTTGTACCATGTGCATAAAGAGGAGTACCACCAACTGTAGTAATAAACTACCCATTTACTCCTTTTTTTACCCCTCTTGATTTTGTTATTTTTAATAAGAGATTTTACTTTTACACATAAAAGATCTCAAAATAATATAAAATAAATTTTTAAATAACTTTTTTTTTATTCAAATTGTAAAAGGTTATGTTCACCTATCTTCTCGTTTCGTGGGAAGAAAAAAATATATTGTACTCCTTTTGCTTTAAAAAAATTGATATTATTTTATTATTAATTAGTTTCAAAAAGATTGAAACCTTTCAATATTTTTATATAAAATATTTATAGCCACACTAGTGATATGACATGTGTCACACCACAAGTTTCAAAATTTTTACAGCCATACTGTTTGACAAAAAATATAGATCTTGGTCAAATTATTAAATTTATATAAACAAGGGTTAATCTTAGCTAACAATAATATCCCTAGATAGAGCTCTTGTAGAAGCAACAAATACTATGTGGATATAATCGGACAGTGCAGTGGCATACAATAGATATTCTAGAAATCAGAGGCAATAATGTAGCATTCAATATCAATAAATAGCAATAAATGATATTTAAGTAAATAGAATGAATGAGTCACCCAGGAAAGGATGGAATAAGTGGATCCTCTTTCTGACAATGATGAATGATAGACAATCCCTTGAATATTTTAGTTATTCGGATCTAGTGGAAAAGTATAGACAAGAATCTCAGTGAAAAGGTGATGTTTGTATCTTAGCAAATCAGATCCGATTCGCTTTCTCAAGTTAAAGTGTGTTTTTTACAAATGAATATCACCTATCACCTACCATTGTGTCTTTTTGTATTCAGAAAATGTCACGACCCAAAATCCACTAAGGGTTGTGATGGCGCCGGACACCATTGTCAGGCAAGCCAACACTAACTACTAGTAACTTCTCTGTTTAGATATTTCTGAATTCACTCCTTTTATACATTTAAACAATAAACAATAAATTTCACTGAATAAATAATGTTATCTTTAACAATTTCAAAATACTGACTAATCCCATAGACATCCCAGAACCCGGTGTCACAAGTGCATGAGCAATTACTAAGGAATCGAATAAAGTACAATAACTGTCCGGAATACAAATTTGGACAGAAAATAAATATAATACGCTGAAAGAGACTATACTGGCTGCGGGGTCGCCTCGAGAAATGCAGCTCACCTAGTCCTCGTATCATCCATGCTGCTACACCCAGTAGGCCGCTAGAAATACAAGTACCTGTGCAACAAAAATGCACAGCAAGTGTAGCATGAGTACGAAAATAACGTGTACTCAGTAAGTATCCCGTCTAATTTCGAAGAAGTAGAGACGAGAGGTCGACTTCGACACTTACTAGGGGTCCAATAATGATACGTCAGTGATATAATAAATCGAGGATTTTTATAAACATGATTGTAATTCAATAGAATGAAGCAAGTAAGCAATTCTTTCTTTTATAGGAAATTCCCAAATTTCTTTTCATCATTTATACATTTATTCTCAAATCGGAAAGAAACAATATCACTTCAATAAATTTCAAGGCAAGCAATACAAGCATGCGCAAATCATGCTGAGGTCGTACGGCCCGATCCAACAATATTTAAACTGTGCACTGCCAGAGGATCGAATGGCGCGAACCATAGATGCATCTATTACCCCGCTCGCGAATCATACATGCAACGCGGTCAAATATAAATAAACAATCACCCTGCTCACGAATCATACATGCGACGCAGGTACACATATAAACACATATTCAAACAGTCAATCAAGACATTCATCAAGGAAACAATTACTCAAGTAAAAGGCAGATTTCACTTTTAAAAATCAAGAAAATGATGACTAGTCTTTTAGATATTCATTTACACATTCGATATGTTTTAAGCACTTTTAAATTGACAACGAGATTTCAAATATTGCAAGTAAAGCATGCTTTTGGGTCCTAGACTACCCGGACTTAAGCATAATAGTAGCTACGCACGGACTCTCGTCACCTCGTGCGTACGTAGCCTCCACAAATAGCAGCACATATTTAATTAATTCACCTATGAGGACAATTCCCTCTTACAAGGTTAGAAAAAAAACTCACCTCGCTCCGAAGCCTATATCCAAATACACGAACGCGCTCAAACCTCCAAATTGGAGCCGAACGATCCAAAACTATTCAAATGGGGTAAGAACTAGTCNATTCATGCTCAAAAGTTCATATTCTACTTATTAAACCAATTTCCCAACCCTAAATACAAGGTTCCTAAAATTCATCCCCGGGCCCACGTGCCCGGATTTCGAAATTTTTTTTGAAGAAAGTTGTTACCCATAACCTAAGGATCAATAATATATATTTTCTACTCCATTCCATAATAAATTTCGTGGTTAAATCTTGCTTTTATCAAAACCCTAGGTTTTACTCAATTCCCATAATTTTTATTAATTTTTGTGTGTTAATCTACCCAAAACCTAAGTATTAAACTCACATTGAGTAGAAATAACTTACCTCACAATGCTAGGTTGAAATCCCCTCTTTGAAAGCTCCCTAATCGCCCAAGTGTAGAAGTGAAATGAAATAAATGGCCTAAGTCCCGTTTTTTAAAAGCTGGACACAAGCCTCTGATGTCGCATTTGCGACACCAGGTTCGCAAATGCGACAAAAGGCTCGCAAATGCGACAAAAGGCTCGCAAATGCGAAGCCTGCTCCCCTTTTGCGACAAGAAGATCGCAAATGCGAGCTTCGCAAATGCGAAGATTGCATCGCAAATGCGACCCCCGACTGGACTGGCCCATTTCGCAAATGTGATAAGGGTTTCGCAAATGCGAACCCTTCAGGCCTCGCAAAAGCGACCCATTTGTCGCAAATGCGAACCATCCCCTCAGCCGCCCAGGTTCACAAATGCGAACAACACCTCGCAAATGCGATGACCGCATTTGCGACCAAAACATCGCAATTGCGATCATACCAGTACCAGCAATCCCATTTCTTAGCAAAATGCTCGGAAGCTACTCCGAAACTCATCCGAGCCCCCGGGGCTCCAAACTAACCACCCGCACAAGTATAAGAACATAATACGGACTTGCTCAAGGCTTTAAATCGCATCAAACAACGCTAGAATCACGAATCACACTCCAAATCAAACTTGATGAACTTTAAAATTTCAAACTTCTACTTTCGATGCTTAAACCTATCAAATCACGTCCGATTGACCTCAAATTTTGCACACAAGTCGTATTCGACATTATGGACCTACTCCAACTTCCGAAATCGGAATCCGACCCTGATATCAAAAAGTCCACTCCCGGTCAAACTTCTCAAAAACCTTCAAATTTCTATCTTTAGCCAAATGACTCCAAAATGACCCATGAACCTCCGAATTCACTTCCGATCGCGCTCCCAACACCAGTATCACCATACGGAGCTATTCCCAGACTCGGAATCCAAAACGGACATCGGTAACACTGAAATGCACTTTAACCCAAACTCATGAAATTTTTCCAAAAATGCTAACTTCCACAATAGGTGCCGAAACGTTCCCGGGTCTTCCAAAACCCAGTTCGGACATACGCCCAAGTCCGAAATCATCATACAAACCTGCTGGAACCTTCGAATCCCGATTCTGAGGTCGTTTACTCAAAAATCCAATCTTAGTCAATTCTTTCAACTTAAAGCTTCCGAAATGAGAATTCTTCTCCAATCAACTCCGAACTTCCCGGAACTCAATTCCAACCAAGCGTACAAGTCATAATATCTGAAGTGAAGCTACTAAGGGCTTCAAACCGGTGAACGGCGCGCTAAAGCTCAAAATGACCGGTCGGGTCGTTATATAAAATGTCTTGAAATATCCCTCTATCATTAGAATTTGTTTAAATTACCCTCCGTTATATTATTGGATCAGAAAAAACCTCAACCGTCTCACTATTTAAACACATATACCCCTTCTTTGACGGACTAGACACGTGGCACGTATCCAAGGCTCTTGTTCCATCTAGTCTTAAATTAGACTTGACCCACCCATTACCCAATACCTGAGTCATTAGATTTGACTCTCACCAACAAATTCAAATCGCCTCATTACACGATAGTAACTCCATAGTTAATAAGAAATGTGGCATGGATCGTTTATATAAAGATGATTCAATCACTTATTTATATACTTATACATTGTGGGAGTTAGTTATTACATGGATCAACAATTGGAAGAGGACAGTGAGATAAAACTTCATTTCTGGTTTTGAGAACTAGAAGAAAGCAAAGGACATGCCATATCAGATTGCAACCAACATTGATTATCCCGCAATAGAAAACCAGATGATTGACATGATGGATCTAGTTATTCCATGACCAAAGTCCAGTTATTCCATGCTGAAAATGAAGATCTTCAATGATGACAACTTTGAGGAATAAGATGAATCTCATTAAGAGGGAAATAGTGGTTGTTTTTTGGAAATATTCAAAATCGGACCAACGCTTGTCGTGTACGAGGACCTGATTGAGATAACAATCGCCATTGAGAACCTTAACAACGGTATTGGCAATGGTGGTGGTTTTACCAATGCCGTCTTTGCGGGGGCAATGACGACGACTTTTGGGGTTTATCCGACGAGTCGAGGTTGCGGTTGTACTGGAGGATGAAATGGACGGTAGGGTAGAAGTTTCTAGGAGGTTTGGGAGTGGGAATGAGTTTTAGGGTTTTGAGAGATACAGAATTGGGAGGGGTAAGGGAGGAACAATAGTGAGAGGCGGGCTTAGGGTTACAAAGTGGCTGCAGAGATAATATTTTCGTGTGGAGGAAATGAGAGAGTATTCTATTGAGTGAAAGAGAAGAAACTTGGTTGGAGAGGGTCAACTTTAATGGATCGGGTACCGGGTAATGGGGCGGGCGGAATCTAATTTAAAACTAGATGGACCAAGAGCCTTGGATGCGTGCCACATGTACAGTCCAT